TGATCCATTTTTACATGTCCTGCAGAGTAAGATTTGTATAATGTCTTTCAATGAAGACAGTTTGAAAAAAACAGTAGTTGAATTATCTTCATTTTGTTTATTTGATTGATTCCCTTGAATCGTCCCAATCATTCCCCCCTAAATATTGTGAAGAGTATCTCTGTGCAAATTAGTTGTAGAAACAAATCTCTAAAACAAACAACAAAATGTCTTGTGCTTTCTAATAACTCACATTTGACATGCTGGTGCTTTTTGGTTTTGAGCCTGAAAAAAGCTTCTGAGAGCATTTGGCTCATTTGTTAAGTCTGAGAACTCCTTTTTTTGATCTAACATCCAGAGAAGGTTGTCTGTCCTCCCTGCTGAGCAGAGACAGAGCTTGTCCTATAAAGCTGTGGGCTCGCATGCTGAAGTGAGGCAGTGGTCTGGATTTCAAAAATAATATGCTTTCATGTGTATCTAACCAGTTATGCTTTTATCTTCACTAAATACATGACCAGGCTGAAAACTGTGTATTGTCAAACAGTGTAAAACATAATGGATAGAGTAGGTTTAGTTTCAGTGTTTAGGTAGTATCCTCAGCTAGCTCCTTTTTTAATGAAAAGGTTTGCTTGTTGGTTGGTTGGCTGGTTGGATTTTGTTGTTGTTGTTTTCCTATTTCAGACAAAGTTTGGTTGGTCTTAAACTTTGTCTTATTCCCATCGACCAAATCTGTTCAGAACACTTGAGCTGTCCCAAGGTAGTTTGCAGCATATTACAGTGTTGCATTTTTTATTCAAGACATAAACTACCAAGGACAATTTAGCAAATCTTATGAGTTTATTGGAACCAATAAATTTCATTTACAGGGGAAAATACTTTGCACAGATATTGTAAAGCTGTCTCCTTCATGCCAAAGTCAACCTATATTTAGAACAGATTTAAATGTCTGAAGTGGTATATAGTGAATATTTTAATAATGAATATTTTTCTTATACGAATCAGGGATATTTATATTTCTATTCATAGTGTGTGTTAGAATGCACCCGGAATAATGAAACCTGTCTTGAACTGGGAAAAAACTCAATGTTAATACGAGTAAGAAAAAGGCCCCAGCAAACCATAATCCAGACCCAAGGCTGCAAGTTGCATGTGAAGCACTAGTAAATTTATCCATTAGCAGGTGCAAGTTTATCTTCTCTTGTGCTTGTTATCAAGTATTCCCAGGTGTGTATGTATTCATAAAGTATAAATTAAAATGCCTTCAATATTAGCAACAAATTCACATAATACAAGGACCATAAGGCACAGTATTTTTCCCACATCAACAACAAAATACAGAAATATTCATAAAATTAAATACAAAAGTGAATAGTCTTCCTGTCTTAGTAATATATTATTTCCTCAGAACATAACAATACCAGAAAGAAAAGAAATCACAATAACAAAAATAAAATACAGTCACATTATTTGGTTAATGACCCTATCTTGTGGAGCAGCGCCCACGCTTCAGCACATTAATAGCTCTCATATACATTTTTGTTGAACTGAGTCCTTGAAGGAACTGCATTGCCTGATGGCGAATTACTTGACACTCCGCACTCTGTCCCCGTGGAAGCGTTCTGGATGCAGTTTATCATGTCCGCGTTATGACTGAGTAGGAATATAGCAGCCCTTTATTACACGGGGGCATATCAGGGGGCAGTATTTCCATGGTTTTGTGCTTGGTTCAGCCTTTGGCCAGCACCACAGCTTGCTTTCTGCCCCCGTTGCCCTACAGTGTGCACGTCTCTCACAAATACCTGCTGGAAGGTCTTGCCATCAACAAGAGAGGAAAAGCACGATTCGGAGAAGGATGGCCCTTGTGAAAGCATTTATTTATGTTCACCAGAACAGGGTGAGTGAGAGCAGCCAAGGGCAGCCGGCCAATGCCCATAACCTGCTCCCCACGCCTCCTGTCCCAGCCACTGCTGGGTGCAGGGGAGGGGTGCGCTGGGTGTTCACCATGCTGCACTTCTAGTGGGGAGCTTTCAGGGCCCTCCTACCCCTGCCAGAGCCCTGTCACTTCTCTGCTGGAGGTGGCGCCTGTCTGTGGAATAAAGGCTTTATTCCCAGAGAGTTGGCACCCGATTCTGCCTTCTGAGAAAGTGGATTTAGTTTTTGGAGGTGGCCTTTCAAAGGAGACAACTCAGACAAGGATTCAGATAAGGGGAGAGGTGGCAGCAGTCATTTTCTCTCCTTTTCTGTTTTTGGTTTTGCTTTTTGTTGTTGTTGTTTTTTCTTGTTTTTATGTTTTTCTCTATGCAAAGATGTGGGTTTGGGGTTGTCATGCTGGATGTTTGTTTTTGCTTTTTCTCTGTCTAGTGGAGGAAACATCATAGAATGATACAAATGTTACTCTAAGAGCCAAACAATGGGAGCAGTTACTTTAATGACTGCTGATATTTCTTCTTTTGCCTTTCATTACTTTGCATCCTCAACTCTGTGTGTAGGAGCCATGTTTATATTAAAGAATTAAGTTTTGAAGTTAGGTGTTTGTTAACTTGTGAGTACAGCTGAATTTCTGCAGAGAGAGAAAAGGGGATGGAAGGCTGTGTGTACATTCAGATTCTTAAGAGGTTATTTCTTTTATTTATTCTTCTTCCTTCTGAAGTCCTTAAGCCAAAGTAGTGCTGCCATCCCATCGCTGTGTGTGGGATCAGAGCATCTTTCTTGTTTTAAAATGAAGTCGTGACATACTTAAACTAGGGAACAGGGGGGAAGAAAGTGAAGAGTTGTATTACAGTCTCTTTGCAGTTTAAAACCAAAACCAAGCAAAAATATGGATTTATAGATACATTTGGACAGCACTTGCGCATTATCCAGTGGTCTGGAAAGTGTGTTTTAAACAGGATGCCACTGTCACTGGGTGTTTTTCACTTCAGTCAGTGGGACGCCCATAATCCCCAGATATGCCTCCTGGGTGATCTCCTGGTCATGACTCTGGGCATGGTGGCTCTTCCCCAAACCTGCAGGTGACTGCAGAGGTTGGCTCCCAAGCCTGGGCTCCATTTCCGTCATGCAGGGGAAGAGGGCTGTGCAAGCGCCTATGCGCTCTGAATGGCGCAGTGCACCAAATCCGCAGGGATTATTAATGCGGTGTTTTCTGTTTCCAGGTGTCTGCTTGCAGAGCTTGTAGAACAGTTCTTGGTGATACAAATTGGCAGCTTAGATATTTTACTGTAAGGGTTTATCCCATTAGACATCCTTTCATCATAATCTTTGTAAATCAGCTTTATCAGCGATATATACTATGCTGGTTGCTGAAGTTGCTTTCCAGGCACGTGAGAGATTTAAAATAAATAACCTGACAAATTTCCGCCCTCTTCAATTGAACCTTCCAGATGTTGTTAAGGAACCCTCCAGTTTTTAAAGGAAGGGTGTATTTTGTATGCTCTTTTTGAGCAAGTAGCTTTTAACCCTGTTGGTGAACCGAATGCAGGAGAGTGCAGGCCGTGCATGGGAAGCTCTGCTATTTAGAGAACCTGCATACCTGGTCAGGATAATTTTATCAGCTCTTCTACATAGCATTAAAAAGATGATACAGCTTGATCTTCATGTGTGAATATCCTTAGCTCCTTGGAGACCTGATTACAGTGTTTTGATCTCCATTATAATTTTTTTTAAAGCAAGCAGTTGGTGGCTACATCTTCATCTAGTTTACAGAAAGACGCAAGGTGTGAATTGCAGACAGATATTTGTGGATTTTGTAGATACAGAAAAATTGAGGAAAAAAGCAAGATACAACCTCTGTGAATATATTATATTAAATGCACTTTTGATATTTCCAATCTCATGCTCTTCTAAGAATTAAATCCCTGTGCCAACAGGGTTGTTTGGATGTGAATGCATAAATATTGATTAGATGCGTGATGTATGGCTTTAAATTTGTGTGAAGTTATATTTCCCTAATTCATATATGTATGGCTTTAATTTAACATAAACATTGTATACGTATAATACAAAAGTAAAATGTCAGTACTAGCATAGACAAAAATTGTGGTTTGCACCCTTTCAGAAAGTTTGGTCTTCCACAATTTAAGTTTATTTGAAGCTACTCCTTACACACCCAGTTCTGAAGAGTCAGCTCTATTTTTTGCCTTTGCCCTGTCCCTGAAGGGTGGAGAGTTTGTTATTCTTTAATTGCATGTCAACTTAAACATACTTCCTATCAAGTTAAAAAAGATAAAGGCTTTATATAAATTGAAATCTACTTTGCACTAAAACTTCTTTCTGTAACAGCATCAAACCATGATTCACTACCGCCACTAGTCATGTGAAAAAAGGGGTCTTGAAGTGGTTTGATCTCATTATGGTAAATTCAGTCCATGTGACTGAAAAAAAAGAAAAAAAAAAAAAGGTTTTGATTGTTCTGATTTCCTTGAAATTATTGCTCCATATCAGAACAAATGGCTAAATAGGCAATGTGCCTGCTATTTCCTGAAGTCGGGTTTTCTGTTATGGAACACACCACAGTTGTGCAATCACATTGGGTGGGGGCATGGCCACTGTAACGAGCTGCAAAACTCAGTAATAAAAGCCTTTCATTTCTCAGTCTAGGTTTTGATCCCTGAAAGAGAAATGAAAGAGAACACTTTAATTAATGATATTGAGAGAGGATTTTAAGGAGGAAGAGAGGATGAATTCCTGTAGGTAACTGGCTTGAGGCAGTTCAGTCAATGTAAATATAATGAGTGCAGGTGTTCACGTCCTACCCCAAATACACTTACTTTAAGTGACAACACTTTAAAGTTCTGGCTTACAGTTGCCCCTGTGAGGACAGAGCTCTGGTTTTCTTTCAGACCAGTCCTTATACAGTATATCCCTGACCCTGTACTGAGTTCTGCAGCATCTGTCATAAAGTACTGAATTCAATACTGAATCATACAATACAAATGATGATATAGATTGTATTTACTTTTTTGTCTATTTCTAACATTTCCATCTCTTCTTCTTTTTTCTTTTACATGCTTTCTTATGTACAGCAGACCATTTAGGGATCGAATTCATGGGTAAGTTTTCTCTTCTCTTTTTTCACTGTCTAACATGTATCTTGGTGCCTCATCCCAAAGCACGTGGAAGTTAATGGGAAGACTCCCATGAACTTCATCAGTGGATTTTGGATTGGGCTTTGAGAACAGCTCCTGTTATATTTACTGATTACATATGAAATTATATCAAGATCTATTTTTTCTCTTGTCCACTCTTGTTTATAGAGAGCTATAAACTTCATAGTAATGTTTTGTGTGTGTGTTTTGTTTTGTTTTGTATTTTATTGTTGTTTAATGAAATGTATTGTAGAAATTATATGGGTGTATCATGACATTTTATATGAGATTTTAGAAAGAAGTTAGAGCCTATCTTCATGTAAAGGAAAATAAATTTTAAAATAGAGAGCATTTTTGTTTGTTTTCAGAATTTGGTATTGACTGCAGTGTTAATGTGTAACTATGTTTAATGTGAACCATTTCATTAGCATTTAACAGAGAAGTTGCAGGGATTCTTTTCAGAAAAAATGACAAATAAGCTTTTTCCTAACCTGAAGTTAAATTAAGCAGGAGTGAATAACAGATCAGAAGAATTCCTTTTTATATTTTTTGAAAAAAAAAGGTGATATTCTATTGAATCCATTGCTGTCTTGTAATGTATTCGTAGCCCGAGCAACTGACAGACTTAATAGGTCATTGCTTCACCTCTCAGCTGGGGATCTGCAGAGAGTGGATGGGTTATTTTCTTTAGGAAGCTCAAGTCTGTCCTTAGTAGAGTTAGTGAACTGATGCATCTTTTGTGTAAAAAAAAAAAAAAAGCAACTATTGCATATGACTGAAGACACTGTAATAAAAAGCTTGTGAACTTGTATGGATGTCATAAAAAATTACCTTTAGTGCATCCTTTGCATGTGTTGAGTTTTGCCCATTTTTTTTTCAGATTTTAAAAGTAAAAATATGATAACCTTATGACTGTAAGTGATGATATGGGGTTTATTTTGGCAATTCAAGTATAAGTTGTCATTATACCAACATGGTGATGAATATTAACAGTGCAGCTGATTTAGCAAGAGGACAGCTAGCAGGTGGAGGGATTTTTTTCCTACTGCTTTTGGACTTTTGTGGCATACCTAGAGACCTGTCTCCAGGTTCAGACTCCCTAGGTAAGGGCAAAGATTTACAGTCTGAATTGAGTCCAGTGGATGCCCACCAAGATGGCCAGGGAGCTCAAGACATGCAAAGAGATGCAAAGTGCACTAGTTTCATAGAGGAGGACAAAGTGGAATCTCCCTCCCATCTAAAACTATCTGATGACTACTTACAGAGAAGACAGAATTGGACTCTTTGTGGAGGTGAGGGAGGCGGTGGGCCCAAACAGCATCAAAAAAAAAAAAAAAAAAGTTCACATTACTTACTATGAAACACTGGAACAGGTTCCCCAGAGACACTGGGGAGCTTCCATTGCTGGAGATTTTTAAGGCTTGGCTGGAGAGGTCTCTGAGTACCCTGATGGTGCTGCAAGTGGGCTCTGCTTTGAGCAGCTGGTTGGGCAGGATATGCCCTCCAGTGATCCCTTTCAGCCTTTGTTATGCTGTGATTCTGTGAGCTCTAGAAGCTTGGTGTTTCACTTCACTTTATAGGAAACTTTAAAAGTACTGGTGGAATTAATGCAAGTGTTTCTGTAGACTTCGTTGACAAGCAAAATTTTTTACACGGAAGATTCTGCATATATTATAATTTTACTGCTTAACTGAAATTGTAAGCAGCAATCTTGAGGCATACGAACTGAAAGATAAGCATATACATAAAAGAAAGAGGATAAGGAACACATACAGGATTCAAAGAGTAAGCTTTTCCATAGGAAGCAGGAAAGCGTACCGTAGGAGGCAAAGCTGAAGCATTTTAGCTTCATTTTGAACATTTTATTTTCTTTTCTTTGTTTTTGTATTGTTTTGTTTTGTTTGTTTGTTTTTACGATGTCTCTTTTAAGACTTGAAATAAAGCCAATCCCTGTAGTCTTGGCTCAGAGTAGTCTTCGCATATGAGTAGCTTTCTGATTGTCTTATTTAATATCGGAACAGATCCTGATTGTATACAAATTAATGAAATCTTGTGTCTCCAGCCTGGAAATATTATGACAGAGCCTAAGATGAGGCCTGAGGTGTTTTATGGTGGGCTAGAAAAAAGCAAAATCCAGAACTACACATGAAAGTGAAATGCTTGTGCTTCTTAAAGCTGCCTCCCACCCCCCACCCCCCTTTAAGAACTACTTAAGAAGTGTAAGCAAATATGGAATCATTACTGTACACAAAGCAAAATATACAAATCCCCACTCTGTATACAGAGACATGAGGTGACGATATACGCATCCTGTTATGGCCACCAATGCAAAGTCTTTCCCATCAGTTTACTTCTGTACTGTAGAAAATAATCACAATTACTGCGACAAATATTTTTAAGTTATTAGAAATAGCAATGTATGGGTGATGCAAAGCTTAGCCTCAATTGCGTGTAATCCAGGACATGCTTTCTAGCATTTTCTTTGTGTTTATGGGTTCAGTTGCTTTAGGGATTCCACTTCTATCATTGTCTTCTGGGAATTTTGCTTTTGAAGTTCCCCTGTTCTTTGAGGAAAATAGTGTAATAATTGATTTGGAGAGTATTGTCACTTTCAAAATAGAACTGAATTTCACTTTGTTTTTCCTGACTGATAATGAAGGAATGGAAGATACCGCTGCACTCTCTTAGAAACATTTTGTAATTAGGTGAAGTGAAACAGTAATGGTGAACACTACATAAAAACCTAGAATTTGGATCCCTGCCTTGCTTTTCAAAATTATTTTCACCACTTTTTCACAAACTTGTTCTAAGAGCAAAAGCCACGTAAGCCTGGATTCCTGGGGAAGGCTGGACTCTCCACGGTCAGTAAAACTAAAAGCTTATTTAAATAAGAACATCCATCCCTGGAGATGCCCCAGTGGAGCAGATGAATGGTCCATCTAATTAAGCATTCAGTCTCTAAGGAAAGGAAATGAGCCATTTTTTGTCAGACTCTCAAGAATCCAGATTTGCTGGAGTATAGACTCCTGCCCAGTTCTTTTACTCTCCTTATACGGATCTGCCGTCCATGAATTCGCGTGTCCTTTTGAACTGGCTGGTACTGCCTTCCCCCACAAGCTCCAGCAGCTGCCAGTTGCAGAGGTTCTCACTGGCAGTCTGTGTACCTTGCTGTCCCATTACCTGCCAAACCCACCTCCAGCCAGGACCTTTGACTGATCTTTAGTTCTCTCTCACATGCAGCATTTTTTGAACATGAGTTATACATTCAGTTTATCTGACACACTTGCTGTTTTGTTATCCTTGACCATGTTCCCCTCTGCCTCCTTTTGGATATTATTTGGTTTATGTTCTGTATGCTATTGTGCATGCACAAACATGAATACCTGGTACTTTAGTATTATTGCTGGCCTTGGTTTGGAGTGTCTGTTTCTTCATACGGATAGCAGAGATAAATGCAGACTTATTAATGTGGCATATCAGTTTTAAAATGTTGCAAATATGACAACAGATGTATGCTTCTGATGTATGCTCATGCAGCTTCTGTGGGAAAAATGAAATTCATATATGTGTTCAGGGGACACTGTCCTCTCAAAAATGTACATCTAAGTATTGTAATCAGAGTGGCTGAGCTTCTTGAAATTTCTGATGATATGGTCATGTTGCACATTGCCTAATACCTCAAAGGAAAGAAAAAATAAAGTCTTGTTTAGTACTCACTTGTGTGAACTAGATTCAGTTCCCACCTCTGATGCAATCTACTCGAAAGGCTGTGGGCAATATATTTTTATCACTCTGTGCCTTACTTTCTCATTTACTATCTTTTTTGTCAGGCTTTTACATTTAGATTTCTCAACTCTCTGGGGACTAAATCTCTTTTTGTAGTGCATAACACAGTTTTCTTCCTTGTGAGAGGCTGAAAGGTTCACCTACTCTTCGCTGCTGCTCCCTGGTTCCTCCTAGGAGCATGCCATGGTGCACTGGGGACCTGCCTTGCCTCAGCATGCAGGGTGCCTGGTCTGGATTGGTGCACATTTCTGTGGGGTTCCCAAAATGTCTCACCAATGATGATGCTTGCAATGTCATTTAAATTTCTATCACATAGGTAAGTAAATATTATCATGATGTTCCTATAAACAGGCTGAACATCTATGTGTATTAACAATTTTGTGTCAATTGAAAGTAGGCTGGCTGTTGCTAGTGCTTGTTTGGGGCAGTGAGTTTGTAATAAATGAGAGAGATTGAAAGAAGTATTGAATGAGAGAACTAAATGATGTATTGTTAGCTCTAGTGTGGGGTAGAGTATGTACACATCACAATCAGTCTTCTTGACTTTCAGAACTGAATGTTTGTTTGGTTAGTTGGAAATATTGATGATGAAGCCAAACATCTCTGATAGCCAATACGGCTGATCTGGTTATTTGGTGAGATGGTAGTTGCAACCCGGTTGGTAGCTGGGTTGTGGAGACTGACCTCATGTGTGCGTGTCTCAGCTGCAGAGTAAAATCTGCTTTAACTAATGCGCAAAAGAGATGCAGAAGCCTGAGGGTGATTTTACAAACAAGTGTTCCGGGTAAAGAGTCAGTCGGTACCCAAGACAAGGAGTCATCAGTTTTACTAATTTCTTACAGCAAGAATGAGCAGAGTTAGGGCATTCTAAAGGATGAAGTGTGAAGGTGAGTGATACATGAACAAGCACGACTGTTATAGCAGTTTATCCACAACACCTAATCTGATGATCCAGAATCTTTATCTTTTGTTTAGTAACAGTAATGTCTGATGGATACAAATGAAAATAACATGTCACAGGCAAGTGCAACAGAAATACATTGTCATATCAAATAGTACTCTTCCTTAGGCTGCCTAACAGTTAAACTAATGTCAGTAGTATAAATAATTATGAAGTGTTAACCTGAATCTCCTATGCTTGGATTGCAAAATTAATATAGCAGTTGTTAAAATTAGTT